ATTAATTTTGTATTTTGATATTGTTTGTACACAACTTCATTATTATGGCTCCGTTTGAATCTTACTATTTTATATGCAATTTCATTACTATGACAATCTTGATTAATATCAGGTATTTAGAGCAGCAGGACTAGCAGTCGCGGACAAAAACATATTAAAGGACAAGCAGTTCCAACTCATCAGGTATTGATCGTGGTTCATTAATTTTTTTGTGAGTATTCCATAATAATTAATGTTTCACATTTGTATGGATCTTTATAAAATTCAGTGAATTATGATATTAGATTATTTGAAGGGTTGCATAGCCAATCTGATTCCTCTTGAAAATTTCTCCTATTTTCTAGTTTACAAATTAGTTTTCATTCATTTTTATAGTTGTGTACTTCTCTGCTCAAAGGTTGTGCAGCAAGCAGTGGCGGATCCTGGATTCGTGCCCACAGATATTTGCCCAATCCCTCAGACATGGACATTCTATTGTGAATTGCTTAAATTTATTGGATTTAACATTGTGGGCGCCAACACAATTTATGCAATGGCCAGAACATCACTTCTGTATCTTTTTTTCTGAAAAGGGGGGAAAAAACATTAAAAGAAAGATAAACTGAGTATGATATTATTTTTGTGACTGCAATTAAAGAAAATATCTTTTACAAGATCTTTAATTCAACCGCAAAATAATGAACAAACAAATGCATGAAGTTAAGCAATCCGTGAACAGAGCAGGCTTAAATGTTGTATTGGTAGATATTCATGTATTTACCTATTGTCTTCTTCTTGACCTAGTGACTTGGTAACACTTTTGATAATATTTACTTTGAATATCAATTTCTGTGAGTCGACAACAAAGGATGGGCAGAAAGGAACCAACCCATTTATGATGGAACACAAAACTCTAGGATTTCTTTTTTTGAACTTAACGAAATATATTCTGTAGGATTATAATGTTAGAGAAATTAAAGATGAAACCTGAAAAACTGCCTGCACTATTTGCAGTTTGGTACTTATAAAAGTCTGCAGTACTGATGTACTCTCGACTTATTACTATTAACCATTTTTGGTATTTCAGTGTGACAGCAGAAAAGTGGGTTCCAGTTGTGGAAGTCCCAGAGAGAAGTTTGAAAATTTTCTTGGAGAACAAGAAGAAAGAGGGATTCGCTCTCTTTGGTCTAGAGCAAACTGCAAATAGCATACCACTGGACCGATGCCTTTTTCCTACGAAGACGGTAAGTTTTATTGAATCATGAATCTTCAAATGTACCCCTGCCCTGAAATTACAGAGGCTTTCTATAATTTAACTCCAATCAGTAGTGGGAAGATGTGATGGTCTACTACTACTATCCAAAATTGAACAATTTATTTTTTTTCTACTAGGAAATCTTGTCCTCTTCTTTCTTTATCTCCAATACCTCTGTGTACATATTCTCCTTTTGAAAAAAAATTGCACTTGCATACACAGATGGACAAACGTAGTATATTATTGGTCAATTACTCCAAATTATTCTCGCACGTTTATTTTTGAGGTTAATGATAGATTCTTGTCAATTCTGGCAGGTATTAGTCCTTGGCCGGGAAAAGGAGGGAATCCCTGTAGAGATAATCCACATGCTGGATGCTTGCGTTGAAATTCCACAGCTAGGAGTAGTTAGGTCACTCAATGTTCATGTCAGCGGCGCCATTGCCCTCTGGGAATACACTCGGCAGCGAATCTCCCATTGAATTCTATACTTCCAATGAGAGTTTGTATTCTATTCAAGGGGAAGGAACAGTCTGTGACACCTTCCCTCTTCACTGGGATTCTCAACATATAACTATAAATCGACATAGAATTTCAATCCTAGCACAGGTATAGGAGGTTTCTTTGTCATTTCCTGTATCAGGGTCCTAGTTTTAGCAGGATGTTTGACTCTTCCTTGGGTGGACTGGTTGACAGATACTGTACCATTTGAGCTATTTTCTTCAGAGATGAGAATGAACGCTAGTGTAGCAAGTATGACAAGGAGATTGTATCAGTTGATTAAACTAGCTTAAAGTTACTTAGAAGTTGCTTATCTTGTCAAACATTATATTAACAAAAAATTATTTTTTAAGTGGGACCGCCACGGCTCCTCTCTTCTCAAGAATCCATACATCCCTTATCAGTGTATAGACAGTTTTAGGTTCACTGCTCGCTCAGAGACTTCCTTCTAAGGCCTCTAGTGAGTTACAGATAGAGTTCAAAAATGTCAAATCTTTGATGATTCCATCATCTATGATTGACATTGACTTGACTTTTACATCCAAAAAAAGAATAAAAAGGAAAAATAGAAGGCCGACCTTGGCTAAAAAATGCACTACATTGTTTACCAAATATTGATTATGCATCTTCTCTCCCAATGTTTTGGATTTCATATTTGGAACATGATATACCAATCGTGACTATACGGTTTCGATCCAAACAAGGAACATGTTGGCGTTGTCGCTAGGCCTGCATAACTATTTACATTATTAATGGAATAATTACATATGTGGTTAATGTACTTTGAATGAATTTTAATGGGGTTACTAAACTTTAATTTGTGTCAAATGGATCACTGTAATTTAATTGTATTTCAATTTAGGTTGTTTTACGCAATTCCTTCAAATTGTTTAAAATTAGACACTAATGTAGCAGTTACATACTAATGTCCATGTTGTGTGGCCGTAAAAAAAAGACATGGAAGAAGTGATACAATTGAAAAACTTGTTTTTTGATTGAATATAATCAGAAGGTTGGTTTTTTTTTTTTTTTATCGTGTCATTTTTTGACGGTCAAATAGGACGATCGTTAATATTTAAGGGCTACATTAATGTTTGACGTTAGACAATGTGATGGAATTGAATGAAGTGGTTTAAAGTGGTGTAAATTAAAGTATAATGATTCAGTTGACACAAATTGAAATATAGTGACCTAATTGAAAATTGAATCAAAGTACAATGACCCCAAATAGAATAATTCCTTTTAATCTTTATTAACTAATAATTCTTATCTACTCGAGTCTCCATGCCCCTATATATTTAAGAGCAACACCATCAAATTTCACTCCCCGTTTCCCCCTACATATATGACGAAAGAAAAAAAAGGCTACTTACGATTCTTTGAATGCGCGTATCAATCATATAGAATAGAAGAAGATGGCAAGTCTCTCGACTCGCTTGTCCTTGGCTCTTTTCCGATAAAATTTCCCTAGTTTTATATTATTTTTGCAATCACGTCATGATACTTTAGAATTTTTTTTGTAATAGACAACATGCTATGGAAGGAAAACTGTGTTAGTCGCCATATACGTAGAGAAGCCGAGGAGGACCCACCGATACCAACACCAACATCGTTATGATCATTTCCCTCAAGCTACTCATGTTCATAATAACGGTGGATACAATAGGAAAGCCGAGCTTCTTAAGTACACAAAACACCTTCGAGAATCCAATCATTCAGCTGGGGCATCATCAATCACTTGCATGAAACGCTCTCCTAAGATTCAGGTACCAAACTATCGTAATCCTATCAAATACTATATTATACTGTCACATTCAATGTATCACACATGTCAATAAAAAAAACTCTGTCGGTTTGGGAAAATAATAGGATTAAATCAAATTTTGCTTACTGTCAACTTATCATTCAACAGATTACTCCTGCTGCTAAAACTACAAGAAAACCAAAAAGTGGAAGAACTCCAACTTATGTAGGAAAATGGAAATTCTTATTGCCCAACTTTTTCGGGTGCATGGCATCAGCCTCAAAACCCAAGAAGAAGAAGAAGAAGAAGAAGAAGACGTAGAAAGGAAATTCTATGTCAAAAGTGTTTGCAACATTACGTAAAAATTGATTCAACTAAAATTTCTCACGTGTTTTATTTAATTTTTGTGGTGCTTAATTGTACCGAATATATTTAATTTGCTTCGTTTCAACTTTTTATTTCTTGATATTCTTGTCCCTAACTTTCTATTTTCTAGTGCTCAACATCCCTATAACAATTTCTATCCAAAAATTATTTTTAAGTTTGACGTGAACTAACCTAATAATCATACACGACTTGTACATCTCATAACATGGTACAATAAAAGAATACTTTACTAGATATCCGAATGTCAAATACACTACAAGTCCCATACAAATATAACGAATGGAAATTATCGTCTTTCAAAACACTCTAATATTGCCAAATTGTTAAGAATTACACCAAGAGATGGTTAGGAAAGACAGTTGAAGTGGATTTACTAATTCAATGAATAATTGCTTGATTTCTCATCTCGCCACATAACTTATCGTAAAATGTAATCTCCTCAAATAATTTCTTAAGAATTTCTAGTCGGACACAATACTTTCAGAAAATTATTCAAAATTACAAATCAACTTCTTAGTTTTAAGAAAAAGCTTTTGACTTTTCAAAAGTTTTGTGGAAAAAACACTCTTTTGAGAGTTGGTTAAACTTTTTCTTATTATTATTAGTATTTTGATACTAAGACACCGTTTGATTCTCATTTTTATAAGAATGAGAATAAAAAATATAGTCATTATAGGACCCACATAAAAGAGAAAAAGTTAAATATGGTGGCTTGATGTGATAGATAACGGTCATATTTTTCATTTTTGTAGCTAACGAATGGAAAACAAACGAGGCCTAAGCATGTTTGACTCATTACATTTTTCTAAAGTTTAATAGTCTATTTGGGAGGGATTTTTTATCTCAAAAAATTGATTTTTTGACATTTTTTCACTATTTCAGCCGTAATTTTTGACCTTTTCTTTCACAGGTGGCTCCACTTTACTTCTAACGATCAAAAAATCAATTCTCAAAATTCCTCCCAAACGGGGCCTAAGTAAAAAAAGTAATCTTTTTTAATTTAAATCCAACCTTAACCTTCGAAAGAAGTAACTTGACAATCGAAAATATTATTTATTTTATAAATTACTTATTTAAAATAAAAACATCAGTTCAATTATGTTATTAATTATTTGTTCCATTAAATGAGAAATATAAATTCTCCAAAAGGCCACAAAACCCCCTCCAATCCTCCACTGAAGCCACTCTCCCCCAACTCTGAGCTCCGAATCTGACTATGTTAGTAGCAACAATGGCTTCCCACTTGATTCCAACGACCCGAATTAAGTTGGTATCCTCAAGCCCGAATCGGAACCCCATTTTATCTGCTCCGTCATCTGTCAGAGCCTCTTTATCCACCAGTTTTCTTTCTCCTTTCGTGGGTGGCAGCGTCTTGGGGGGCTTTTCGGGTCTCAAAATCCGACCCACCTCCCTCAATCCTTATTCATTTGACTCTCGTGGCAAACGCGGTGTCGTGACCATGGTAATCTTTCTCAATACACTTACACGTGATTTTTTATATATGGGTTTTTGTTATGAGTTGAGCTTGAGGATTATGCATTTTTCTTTTATAATTTTGTTGGGCATATGGTAATGATGTAGAATTGTTGTATGTACAATATATGATGATGTTATTTAGAATTGAAAACAAGATTTGGGGATTTTTATTTAAGAATGGATTTTTATTTAATTATATTGTTGATATGGAATATTTCTAATTTTATTAATGAACAAGTAGTTCAAAAATTCACTAAAGGAGTATTTTGATATATAGATATCAAATGAATGTAGTAAACTTGGTAGTAGATATTTGTAGGTAATTTGGTTCATGCATATTCCAGCTTTTTTTTTTGGGTCATTTTCTATGCTAATTCTTGACCATCTGTTCCATTGTAAATTTCAATTCTCTCTTGTTGTTAGGTCATCTACTATTTGTTTTGCTTCTAGTTGCTGTTTGTGCCAACTATTTTGTTTTGTCATCGTGTTTAACTTATTGAACTCCATAAACAGCAGCATATTTTATCATTAAATTCAAGTCATCCTTATGGGTAAATTATTGATAAGCATATTGTTTAAATTTTATTTTATGTTTTTTTGTGTGTCATCATATTGTGTATCTACTTTCTAAGCCATAAACCAATTCTTCTCCAACTGTCCCATGAGAATATAACCTGTTTAATTCTGTTATATGGTGGTCGGCTGTCTGGTTTAAGATGCCAACATCGATGTGTCTATGCTTCTAGTTCTTTTAGTCCACTACTTGCTTTGGTAATTAACTTGACTGTTATTGCAATCATTAACAGTATATACTACATATTTGTAATGATTTATGTTTCCACCATTCTCATTAGTATCTTGAATGTTGGTTGGGTAAAATTCTGTTAACAGGTTATCCCTTTCTCAAGAGGAAGTGCCTGGGAGCAACCTCCTCCAGATTTAGCATCTTATTTGTATAAAAATCGTATTGTCTACTTGGGCATGTCTCTGGTGCCATCTGTCACTGAACTGATACTTGCAGAATTTCTTTACCTTCAGTATGAAGATGAGGAAAAGCCAATTTATCTTTATATAAATTCCACTGGTACAACCAAGGTTAGACTTAATTATGACAAGCACGATGCTTCAAATTTTGTTAATGAAATATTTCTCCTGGTACTTTACAAGACATTTTCTGTGTCATTTTTTTGGGTGGAAAAGGATACAATATTTGGATGACTTAGCCTCCGTTTGGCAAATTTCTAAATGGTTTATAAAGAGGAATACTAGTGCATTCCTTGAACGTGGATAATAATGAGTAGTAGTTATGAATGTGTGGTTGAAGTGTCTTTGACTTTGACTGAATTTATAAAGCATTTATAAATTTGTATCCCACTGGCTTTGCTATCTGTCATTGCTCAAAACTTGTGCAGTTTAAGAGTAGAAACCAATTTATTTCTCTCTCGCCCTCCCCCCACCCCACCCCCCCCTTCCAGAGTAAGGATTTGTAACTAAGAATAACATTACGCCTGAACTGGTACAGCTTTTCTTCCATTCCCCATGCAATGATTGTAAAACTGATGCTATACAGCCTCAGAATATATTTTCTTCTGTTCAGTTGAAAGAAATCATAAGCATAGATACATAAATATGATCAATGTTTACCATATCAATATTGCTAGTTTCAATTTAGTAATGGCAAATTGGCTGGTAGTTCTCTTTCTTTTTCTAAATCTATGTATTACCCATGTCATCAGTGGGGGATCTACGATTGGAAGTCAGCTAGGGCGGCCATTAAACGTTGATCATTGACCGTTGATAGTCAACGACCGTAATAGCTATGTCGTTTGTTAATATTTAATTAAATAATATTTAAAATTCTTCAATCTATATGTAAATACACTAAAACAACAATCATGGTAAATGTTCTTCTGCGGATTGACATTAAGCTGTCTGACATTTGTACGCATGGCAACATTTTAAGAAAAGTCTAAGAGAGCACAAGAAAAAACTAAGAGAAATCCAAGCACCAACCATGACATCAAATTACTTGGGCTTGGAAACCAGTTGCCTGTAACGGTTATCCATGATATCTCATTGTACTTCATCCAAGGATATTTTATGGCAACCTCTAGACAAGATTCTAAAAATAAACCATCGGCGAGCTTCATGATATTGGCTTTGCTCACAGTTGACACTTCTTTCTGCTGTTCAAATAAGCGTGCTCAAAAACATATTTTGCAGCGTGCTCTCCTCACCTACAAAAGGTGCAACATAAATGAACTTTTCAGCCAATGCAGAGTAGAACATATATGCCTTCACATTGTCAAGGAATATAACATAAACATTGAGTAACAATTCATGCCAAAAGCTTCTATTTTTAGTTGTGACCATTTCTGATTATTCCATCAAGTCACTAATTCCAATAACAGCCAAGTTCCAACCAACAGAGTCTAATTCACATGACAATTAGCTATCACAATAGACATCAACATAAAACAAAGCTTAAGATATTCAATTGTTTCCATTCGAAATTATTTTCTTCGCATATTTTTGCTTTACCTATTTGAACATATCATATAAACCTCTGAAGTCCATCTATCAAATTTAGCTTGGATCTCATACACCATTTTGTGCATTCATAATTGGTATAATCAATTCAAGTAATTTTTTCTACCTTCACAGAAATAACCAAATAATGAAATCAACCCAAATTACACAAAATCCTTTGAAGTCACAAACAATTTAAAAGTAGATTATTACCTTCAGACTTTTGGCAACACTGGGAACAACAGTAGAACATCAGGTTTGGAATTGGGCATTTAGCTTTTTGAAGTTGTGGTCAGTGGTTGTGAATTGAGAAATGTCGTAAATGACTATAGGAATTGGGTAATGAATAATGGGCCATAGTTTTTATTTAGGAAAGGCCCAACTAAAAAAGGCCTAAGTGAAAAAAAGCCCAACGATCATCTTCCCCATTCTTCTTTCTTTCCCAGTTCACTGTCTTCACGACCATGGCAGCAAGTTCTGAAATCTTCAACTACGTGGCCATACTTGTAAATTCCGGTGGAGCTAGCGCGGGCAGCCACGCTACCTCGTCGGGTGCTGGCTATGCCACTATATGTCATCTAAGCATCAGTTATAAATACTATGCATCGTACTTGTTTGCTTCGTGTATTTGATTTCCATGTAACCTTCTAGGTTTGAGGTTCAAAGTGGGGATGTTTCCTCAAAACCCAATCCATTTTTGGCATGCATTTGAAGTTAATATACTAAACTTGAATTTTGTTTGGGATTCAGCATAGTTCATGTTTTGGGTTAATTTCCCCTCCGTTATTAATTTCTGCATTGAAACATCGTCTGCCAGATGTCCATGTTATTGATGCAGACATAGGTTAGATGGCAGAGCTTTGGAATAATTTGCTGTTAAGAGTATAACCATTTGGTCCATTTCAACTATTAAAAATACTACTTTTTTACTTTCTATTTTTTGTTCAGAAAATGCAGTTAAATTTGGCTTGTAAAGCTCTAAAGCCCCCCCCCCCCCCCCCCCACCCACAAAACTGGGCATTGCACTAAGAAACGTGTAGTCTCAAAATTCACGAATCATCGTTCCTATGAGCTTTTAATGTGAAGCTTCTGCAAAAAATAAAAAATAAAATGATCAACATATTTAAAGTGGACTTGTTCAAAGTTTTATTTAATTTTCACAATTTTGCAGGGTGGGGAAAAATTGGGCTATGAGACGGAGGCTTTTGCAATTTATGATGTTATGAGGTTATAAATCTTTATGCCATACATCAGAATGCTATTAAAGTTGTACCTTATTTTTGTTTAATGCTTGACAGGGCTGCAAGATAGTACTTTGTGTAGCTACTTTGAAACTCTAGCCAAAACCATAAGATATCAATATCAAAATGGATGTTTTAATTTTGTGAAAGCCGAAATTTTGTGCACTAACTATTATTTCTGAAATCGAGCAAGTCGAGGGTAGATTGTGTCCTCTACTTGCTATGAGTTATCAAGGTCACTTTTTTGATTGAGCTAAATCTCCAACTTACTAGATTCTACAATCATGGCATTTGACAAATTCGTGTGAACTCTATTTTTTTCCAATGCAGTTAAAATTATTTTAAAGACTATGATGGAAATATAGACATTTTGGATTTGCTGATTGTGTGCTTCATACCATTGTAGTGTGTGAATTCACTTTCGTTTTATTCATTGTAACTAACGAGAACTGGCATGAAGATATGTCAAGCCACCTATTTTCACGCTGTGTGTTGGAAATGCTTGGGGAGAAGCAGCCTTGCTTTTGGCTGCTGGCGCAAAGGGCAACCGTTCTGCCTTGCCATCGTCAACAATCATGATTAAGCAGGTCCTTGTTATCTATACTGCATGTTTTTCTCTCATGTTAAGTTCTTGATATTCAGTAATCTGCCTTTAATTCCAAACAATCCACACCCCTACAAGGCACACTTATTCTCTCAAAATAGAAGTTACTGTTTCTAGGAACTAGTGTTGCACAAATATCATGATATTAACATTAGACTTTTTGTTATATTGCTTTGTTTTGTTTTAATATTAATACCTATTGCCTGTGTAATCTTGCAGCCAATTGCAAGATTTCAAGGTCAAGCATCGGATGTTGAACTTATGAGGAAAGAAGTTAAAAATGTGAAGGCTGAGTTGGTAAAGTGAACAATCATTTAGGCCATTGTTTCCACTCCTCTTAGTTCCATGTTTTCTAGATTCAGAAATCGGGCATGTTTTGTATTATCGTTGTATGCTTTTGAATCCAACTGTATACGCTTGCATGTGAATAGTCATCATAATATTGCCCTGACAAACTCATTCACACTGGAAGTTGCATGGGAAAATGGTAATGTACATCCTTGACGCACAGCTGAACCTATGCTTATGGACATTTCATGTTTTGATTTGCAAAGGTTAAACTCTACTCGAAGCATATAGGAAAATCGCCTGAGCAGATTGAAGAAGACATAAGGCGTCCAAAATATTTTAGTCCAAGCGAGGCAGTTGAGTATGGGATCATTGACAAGGTACCTCTATTGAGAATGGTTTACATTAATTTGGCTTTGAGCTCATCATGTAACTTACAATTATTTTCCCAATGATCCGAAGGTTCTGTACAACGAGAGGGGCAGTGAAGATAGAGGAGCTCTGTCCGACCTGAAAAAAGCACAACTAATTTAAATGACTCAAAACTCTTATCAGTCCAAAAAGCAGCAATAGGGGTGATACCCATTATTACCTGGTGGCCATGATCATGTAAATTATTTGAAACAGTTGCATATGGTGAAGTATCTAATGCGACAGTTTTAGGGTAACAATGTGTTGACAGGCAATTCATCATATGAAGGCTCTTCCCCCTTTTCAGCAACTCATTTGTTGTCTACGTCTGTCAATATTGCAGCAGCTGTACTAAATTTGATTGTACTGAATTGATAGAGTGAGCCAGAGTGTTTATCTTAGATTTTATAAAAAAATTGAATTTTACAAATGTTTTTGTTTTCTGATATCCAGATACATGACACCATGCTGTAAGAGGATGATGTTTCAAAAGTAAACTTGTTTGATAATTACACTTTCTTGGTTAGATTGAGTATATATTATACTTCTTTAGTCAATTCTGAGGTTAATTATTGTTAGTTGATGCCTCTGGTGAACATTTGCGCTCTAAATCTATACTCGCTATACTGGCAATAAATTATTGAGCATGTTTGGAAGTAATTATAAGAATTGAATTTTTGCCCGTTAGAGAGAAAAGTCGGTCCCATTTGTGAAGAAGAAGTAAAAAAGGATGGTTAAAATAGTGAAATAACAGTTAAAAATTGATTTTTTGGGATGAAAAATTGTTACAAAACGGGAATTGAATGAGCATCTGCCAATTCTAGATCTTGAAATACAATTGGGAATTAAGTTATTTGTACACCTTTTTTGACCGAAAGGATGACTATGAAATTTCTCTTGCTGCCGTGGAATTGTGGGAATTTAAAAAAAAAAAAAAAAAAAAAGGTTTCATTCTATATTATCAACGAAAGTGTACAGATAGTCAGGTTCTTATAAATTATGTGTTGATAATATCTAAATCAATTATTTCAAAAATAGTATTTGAAATCAATAGAAATCAGTGACCAACACTTGAATTGTAAACTAATTCTGTCAACAAAGTTTGTTCAGCTAGATTAATCAACTGCATAAACCCAAGTGGGAAACGACAAATAACAACACCCAATACCAAAAAATACTATAAACATGATGCCACCAACCAAACCAGCAACTATTAACTGAGAAACCAAAAAGCAGATATGTGCTGAATCACTCAAATGGTCAAATCAATAACTTTCCACCCTCCACTTGTCGTCACTTCTCACAAAATGTCGAATCAACTAATTGAAATAATGAGATCAGGTGCCCACAAAAAGAACAACCAATTGTTGAACCAATTATGCTATTGGTACATTGCGGTATCCAACGGGGTGTCCATTTCTCCTTAGCATTGGCCGAGGTGCCTGGTGTCCATTTTGGACATCCGTTGGACACCTCGATGTACTACAAGCATTATTCTTAATCAAATTTGTCAACCTAATTTGTACAAATAACGTAATTCATCTTGAATGCACAAGTGTAGCAAAAGGAGATGCATATTGAAGTTCACCAGAGAGAGCACTGGTGGGTTCAAAAGTGGGGTGCATCATTTTCCATTGTTATGCTCTTTCTCTCTCATATGTAATGTCAATCTAAATGTTTAAGTAGTTAGAGAAGAAGTTTATTTATTTAGCATCTGTTTGATGGGATTAAAATCAAATTTTTAAAGAGATTTTATTAGAAGTTGATAAAATGTGTGTTTAAAAAGTTATGAATCTCATAAAATATGTGGTCAAAATTAAATGTTGTTTTTTATTTTGATAAAAATTTATATTTTAATTTATATCAAACAATGGCTTAAATCATATAAAATGTATCTCTTCACACGTAGACATTGTTCAATTTTATTTTATTTTATTTTATTTATTTATTATTATTTTTTTTAATCAAAGTTTAACCGTACTAGCACTTCTCGTAAATGAGTGGTGTCACAGCAAGGCTTAAACTCAGGTCTATTGTGTGATTTTGATACTGCGTTACTAATTTCAAATAAATACTCATTTTGCTATGCATATTCATTTAAGAGTTTTGCTACACAAATATAAGGAATGACCGAACATACATATGGGGGTCGACATTTTTAATTCACGCGGGACCCATGCGCAATGTGAGGTTCGGTCAACCATGCTGTCAAAATTTCGGGCAAAACAGCTTTATTCTTCATTTAAATATTATCTTTCATTATGTCTGTCACATTTTTCTAGAAAAGACATTCTCATTATTTTAAATAAAACTTAATTTCCCATTGTTCTGTCATGGAGAATGTTGTAAGTCTTTACTTTTCCTAACATTTCATTTTGAACAGCTTTATTGATTGTAATGAAGTCTACATCCTTTCGCTTGAGTTGTTACAATTTTATAGCTAACAAATAGGTTTCATAGATAAAAATTCCAAACATTAAAAGAAACTGAGTACTAGAGATATTTAAATTACAGTGATAGTGCTCTTCAAATGATTGAAAGAATTGAGTGATCATATAACTCTATAAAAGATTCATGTACATCTTAAAAGAGGTTCATGTACTTGGAATTATTAAAAATAAAAAGATCTTAATAAAGTCGTCCCTCCAAGAAATAGAATAAATCGAAAAATGAACGTTGTTGATAATGTGACTTATAGACCTATATTAAGAATAGAGCGACTAAGACAATGTTAATTAAACTAGATATTTTGACAGTTGTGATATTTGAATACAAAAACTCAATGCCTCTAAGTTGAAATTTAATTCATTTTTTACTTAATAATAAAGTTAGTTATTCCAAAGGTCTGACAGAACTTAATAGACAGACCCATGAAGCAAAATCTTAAGAAAGTAAAATTTGAAAATCCTTAATGTTTTTTGTAAAGAAGTTGCCCCCATTTGTTTGAAGAAGAGAGCGCAAAAGTCTCATTAGAATGACATAATAATTTTTATGCTATTTATTGTTCACCATAGATGTAAGTTCTCTTGCGACATTTTGATTATTGGGTATTGAGGTTACATCTAAAGAGGTCATCATTATTAAGAGAAGTAGCATAAATTCTAATATTTCAAATAATAAAATATTTGTACTCAACGAATATGTTTACTTTGTATATATTCTAGTGATATTTTTAATGCACCTGCTGGGTAGTTTGTAGCAAGTTTTTTCGGACGTTTTCTAGGAGCAGAAGGAACCGCTATAATGACCACAAGTTAGAATATTGTGTTTTTTGCAATTTTTTAAGGAGAAATTAGGCCCATTACCCTAAAAAATGTTTTATTAGATTAATATCTTTAAAACTAATTAGAACTGCAAATTCTCGTATTAATTATGCCCAAAAGTCCAAAAATTGAATTTGTCACTTTCTTTAGATTTTATCAATTTTTTGAGTTTTTATCACTTTTTTGAATATTTGTCACCTTTTAATTTTTGATTTTTATTTTTGTCATTTTCGTTTAATAGTCCTCTCTTTTTACAAAATTGAGAATTAGTCATACCACATAAATATAGGTTTAAAGGGATATGATATGTCACTTTTTTATGAAAAAAAACCATTTGATACTTTTTAGCAATGATATACCTTAACACTTTGAATTTCATAAATTTAAGGGAAAATTGCAGTCGAGGTACCAAACCTTTCGTTTATTAGCAGATTTTGCCCAAACCTTTAGTTTATGCCAACCACAGTCCCAAACCTTTCAAAAATATGCACATGGGGTCCAAATGGACGGTTTCCATCCGTTTGATCGTTAGTTGACCAATAAAATTAAATTTTGACCAATTTTTGACCAACTTAAAAGAATAGAAAGGTAAATTTGACCACCTTAAAAAAATCATCTTCTTCCTCATCTCACCCCCAACCCCCGCCCAACCTAAACTAACCTACAGAAGATTGAACCCCCCCCTCCCCAAATTCGCC